TAATTTTTTTTTTTTTTTTTTTAATGCCGAAGTAAAGCTTTCTCTTCCTCTGGTCACAGTGTAGTTAGCTGGGTAATTCCCTCAATGTATAGCATCAGGGTGAGATGATACCACTGCGAATTTTAAGCCCCAAATAATCTCTTTTTCTGCATAGAAATGTTCTTCAAAAGGAAGCACTAAAGGGCAAGCTTTAGGGCACACAGATAAATACTTGGCTTGTCAAAAGAAAATAATTTTAAATCAAAGAAAATCAAGGCTGGCACAGGAAGGTACAGATTAAATAGCTACCAGAAATACAGACAAAGCAATTTAAAATCTGAACTTGCTTCAGGACACAAGGGTGGATGCAACAGAGTTCATTTCCCTCCTACCACCATCTGTGATGGCCAGAAACGGGGCTGGGAGCGAGTGTCCACGCTGGGGCCAGGCCTACCCCCATCACGTCACAGAATGCCAAAGCTAAGTTTGTGCTGAGGAAGTTTTAGAAAGACTCAGTCAAAAATGGTTAATTTGCATTCTTTTAAACTTGCAAAAGCGTATGTATTTTCTATCATCATCTGAGAAGTGATTCTTAGAAAAAGACGTTTGTTTGAAAGTATAAAGAAATCAGGTCAGAGTTTTACAAACGTTATAGCTGCACTTCTCCGAGTTAGAGGTGACTGATTCCGACTAAGATGGGGGAGATGACAGTTGGGAATGAAACCGACTCCAGCCTGCAGCTCAGAAGAAAGGGCTCAGCCGGGGACAACAGGGTTGGGGCTGAGGGAGAACAGACGAGGGTGCAGATAGAAAACTATCCCTAAGTTTTTTCTTTTTGCACCTTATTATCTATCAACTTTACTTTTTCTCTTTGTGGTTTCAGAGAACAGGCAGTTTGTGTTTAGTTAATGAAGCAGTTATATTAAAAACATTTCATAAAACCCCAAACCAAAACTGAGATGCATAGCTAGGTGGACAGGTTTCCAGATGCTCTTCACTTCTCCTGATAAATCACACGGGAAGAACACACAATAGCCTGGCCTTCCCTAAAGACATTTTAAAGGAGCGTTAACTCCCATTGTTATGGAAGCCTCTTCTACCTCATGCAGTTAGTATGCACTTCAAGTCACAAGTGAGTCAAATGCTGGAAAATGTAGCCCTTAATAAATGCACTGAGCCTGCCATGTGTGTAATTCTTTTCCTATAGTGAACAAGCGACTTTGTGTTAACAGTTCACATTTTCCACTGAAATACAGGGGAGGGTTAAGCAGAGAATATACCTCTCCTGCGCTGTGGCCTAGACATTTTGAGGTCAAGCATGCTGAGCTTAGTTTAATAAAATGGAGAGGGCACCATAACGCATGCCCTGGGCTGGACACTTGGAACCAAGTGGCTCCCTTACTGTCCTGGCTGGAGCCCTCTCCTGGGAGTGGAGACAGTTGGCCCACTCCAGGTGACATCTCCAGCAGCCCCTCCCAGAGCAGAGCATGTTGCAGACAGGAGGCCACTGATGTTTTCTAGTAATTGCATTTTTGCACAGTGCAGTTTAAATGAACTAGTATGCTTGATATGGAAGGCAGCTTTATCAAAAAATTTCAAGCCGGTTACAGAACTGAGTTCAAAAGATACAAGAAAAGCAGTGTTTCTTTCATGGGAGCAGAATTTAGAGTCTAGTTCTTTAACTATCATTGCAACCTCAGGAAGGCCCTTCTTTCTGAGTCTCTAACACAAAGAGGAGGGTCGTCCCTTCTTTGCCTAATTTTCCTACTCCATGACAAAACCATCATGTCCTTTTTCTGTAGAACAACAAGAACTTAGCCAACCTATCTGATTGTGCCCATCCCTCCAAGTACCTTTGTTCTTCTCACCCTGGCAACGTGACTGCATGTTTATAGGTGAGGGCTCATTAGCCAAAGGCAAACATGGCGGGTTCTTTATAATCGCCATAAAGAAAGACGCCCTCTCCATCAGCCAAGTGCTGGGACCCACATGGCCACCAGTGTTAGTCACTATGATGGAGGGACACTGAATGCACTGATCTCTACACTCTGCCAGGGCAAAGCAAGAACTGGGACAAACAGGCTTTGTACAGAGAGCAAGGACAGTGAAAACACAGAAAGTGAGAGGCAACTAAGGCCTGCAGGGGAAAACTGCAGGCTGCCTCACACGAGGCAGAAGCCAGTCTCATCTGCTTGGACCCATTCTGTCAGAGCCACCTGCTGAATTTGTCCGTGAGTCCAACACAAACTACATACATGGATTTGTGAGAGTAGTTCTCACACTTAGATTCTGTCCATGAGAGCACAGAAGAATACTTAAAGCAACCACAGCATTCACCACAGCACTCAAACCCAACAGGCAGAAGTGTCACAAGTCTGAGGTCTGCAGACAGGCTCTGAAACTGTACAGCTTGCTCTTTACCACTGGGGTCAGATGGACGATGGCGATCCTAGTCCTTGGTGCCGGAGGAAGAATCTCTGAGCTTCTTTTCTCAGAGAACTTTACAGGTGAATTCAAAAGCTTTCTCCTTTGGCTTTAACACAGAGCTGAACCTGTAAAGCAGAACTTCCAAGTGTGAGAACAAACGTGACTACACCTTAGAGATTTTCCCTTATCCAACTCACGCCAGGCCTCACAATGTGGTCTTGTTTGCACACTTTAGTGAGAACGAGGCTCCAATGTGACCTGGGAGTTGTAGAGTCTGAGGACACAGGTGAGACGCTCTGAGCTCCACACGAGCCAGATTCCACCAGGAGCTTCACTGGCACATGGAGATGCTGGCTTCTAAACACCAACACCTTCCCCGCAGAGGCGGTGACCCTGGGGGCAGAGCCCAGCCTTATTCTTCATCTTCGAGTCACATGCACGTGTGCAAATGTCCTTTAGAAGCAGCAGCACAGTGTGACAATCCAGCAGAAACTGTAAAGCACATGCAGACTCACAAGACTGCCCTGGGTGAGTTCCACGCTCATGTCCACACGTACACACATACAAACACACACCTCCACTCCATGAGGTTAACAGTGCTGGGCAAAATAAATGTTTGATGCAGTCACTTTGGAGTTGCAGGGATTTAAGAGAAAAATGTGCCTTCCCTTAGCCTATTACTGAAGAAAATCAGTATGCGCTTGATCTGATTCATAGGATGCTGGATGGAGCACAGAACACAGAGTAGAAGAGCCTGGGCTGGTGGCATTTTTTTTTCCTAAGAGTGATAGGATCCACAGGCAAAAATCACCAGCAACATGCAGTCAGGCCACTGGAGAAAGTTGTGTCTCTCTTTCTTTGCAAAGGTGGCGCCCTAACCAGCTCCTGTCCTTGGTGGGGAGGAAGGATTCAGCACACTACCTGAAGCAGGAAAGAACTCCAGGATGGGTTCCTTCATTCCTTTTCCTTTTCTTTTCTCCTATGAAAATTCTACTAATGGCTATGCAATTAGCCAACCCGTTCCCCGCAAACAGGAGAGGACAAGAAGCTTGTTAAAAAGTTTTTCCCCATAGTCCTCCACTTCATCAGAGCTTCCCGGTTCCCTTCCTGATTTCCATGTCAGACCAAGCTCAGGCACTGCTGCCTAAGGCTGGCAAGGAAAGGTACGTGCAAAACTGTCCCTGTCACATGGCTGCGCTCCTCCCACTCCTCCTCCCTAGCACAGTGCTACATGATAAATACAGTTACACTTTGGAATTAGCACACTTTCTTCCCGAGCAGCATCCTAAGGGCACTTGCTGGCTCTTATCAGTACAGTCAGCACTGTTGGACAATAGTTACAGGACAAAAAGGAGCAAGGAAGGAGCTGCTGTTGTGGACATGGGGTCATGTAAAAAGGTCACATGTGGACACTACTGCTAAGTTTGGGAACATAGAAATCCCCACCCCACTGCTGCTTGCCAAGTGTTACCATTGGTTGGCCCAATATTTGGCTCAGGGGTTGAGACCAGTGGTGACCAGACTTTCCCTTTTCGTTGTTGAGGGATGGCTTTTGTAAATTCTCCAATCAAGTGTGGACCTTAATATGTATCCTAGGCATTGCTGCCTTGACAGTCTTTTTTTTTTTTTTTTTTTTTTTTT